CAATACTGTAGGTTGCTTTTAATTTTGTTGACAGTTTCCTTTGCTGTACAGTAGCATTTTAGTTTGATGTACCCATACTTGTTTATTTTTGCTTTTGTTTCTCTTGCCTGGGAAATATATCCAGAAAAAAAATTACTAATCTTTATGTTCAAGAGTTTGTTGCCTAAGTTTTCTTCTAGAAGTTTTATTGTTTCAGGTCTTACATGTAGGTCTTTAATCCATTTTGAGTTTACTTTTGTATACGATGTAAGAAATGGTCCAGTTTCATTTTCTTGCATGCAGCTGTCTGGTTTTCCCAACACTATTTATTGAAAAGATTGTCTTTTCCCCATTGTATATTCTTGCCTCCTTTGTCATACATTAGTTAACCATATAAGCATGGGTTTATTTCTGGCCTCTCTGTGGTGTTCTGTTGATCTGTGCCATGCTGTTTTGATTACTATAACTTTGTAGTATAGTTTGAAATCATAAAATGTGGTATCACCAGCTTTGTTCTTTTTTCTCAAAATTGCTTTGGCTCATAGGTATTTTTTTTAACTTTATTTTTTCTATTATTTAACTCTTCATTTTGAAATAATTTCAAACTAACAAAAGATTTTGTAAATAAAGTACAAGTAATTTACATGTACCTTTTACCCAACTTCCTCAAATGTCATCATTGTAACTGAGCATAATTATCAGGATCAGGAAATACACACTGACCCGATACTGTGATCTGTGGACCTTACTCAGTGCCCCTGGAGTGCCCCTTTCTGTTTCTGGACCAAGCCCAGGTTCACATATTGCTCTGGTGGTCAAGGCCCCTTAGTCACCTTCCGTCAGTTTTAGTGACAGCCCCTGAGGTCTTTGTCTTTTGTGATGTGACACTTTTGAAGAGCCCTGGTCAGTTACTTTGTGGAGTGTCCCTCAGCTTGGCTTTGGTATGTTTTTTAAGCAACTATATCATTTCTCCTCCAAACGGAGACACTTGGGGGTCAAAAAGAGCCCAGTTCATAGCTGCACCAAGACAGCAGGTGTGGACCTGGCGAGTGGTGCCTCAGTGTTTACGTCACTGTGCTCAAGGCTCTTTTAATATGTGGGCCCCCACCTCCTTCCTTTTTTCCCCTTGGAATGAAACTTCTGCTGAGTGTCCTCCATTCTGTGTGTTGTTGGTCACATCCTCATGGTGCCATTTAATATGTTGCTCCATCCCATCTTTCCAGTAAACTGGTTCGGTCAGATTCCAGTTCATTTCTGAGCAGTCCCTACTCAAGTCTCTGCCCTTCTTTGCTTGGGGATGTCACTCCTGCTTCTGGCAGTCTCTGTAGTTAGACTTCTCCCTTCAAAGCTGGTTTCCGCTGCCTTTTATTTGGTATCTCTCCATACATTCCCCTGAATAGTCTTATTTAGCCACTATCTGTATCTGCTAATAATAGATGAAGACCCACCTTCAGCCAAGATCTCTCCTGGTCTCCAGCCATCTTCCATCTGGTTGTCTGAGGGATCTAAAATGCCATCTGATTGGGTCACTTCCCTTTTAATCCCTCGCATTGCCTTCAGGGGCAAATATAGATTCTTCACTATGAACTTGGCCTTTCATTATCCAGCCCCCACAAACGGCTCCAGCCACATCTTGTGGTTTCCTCCCAGTCCTGCAGTTCTGACTCAGACATGCCCCTCCACTCTCAGCTGTTCCTCTGCCCTAAGTATCCTTCCCCCTTCTTCATCTGGATGAATTCCCCAAGAGCCACCTTTGCTGGGAAGCCTCCCGGCCACGGGCTGGGTTAACCCTGCACACGCTGTACATTCTCCCCTGGATGGCAAGCCCGTGAGAGGATGTGTAAGTTTCATCTCTCTCCCCATTGCCTGGGACATCACTGGCACTCAGATGTTTGTTGAATCAATGTTGAAAGTGATGGAATATATCATAAATACCTTTTCCTTCACATTTTAAACTAGGGTCTGATATTGACCTCAGTCAATAGTTGGTGCCGTCCAGACTCACCAGCTCGCCAAGTCTTACTCTCAGGTGTGGGCAAATGAATGAGTAAAAATACAGTCCTGACCTTTCCCTCCCAGGCAAAGACAGAAAAAGTGTAGTTCTATCTCGGAGGCACAAAGTATTATGAGAATGTGGGGAAAAGAGAGTTAAATTTAAAGAAAATTTGAAAGCTCAAGATAATGGTTTGAATTGGACCTTAAAATACTACAAGATTTCATGGGGTTGATACTGGTTTTGGGAAGAGGCATCTTGATAAAAGCGTGACTGCAGCACCTACACGAAGCTTTCCACCTTGGGCACCTAGAGGGATGCTGTGGGGTGTGCAGTGAGGGCTGGGCTGCGGAGGCCTTGAAGGCAAAGCCGAAGTCGTCCCTGATGTGGGTCCCCACAGCTGTGCCTCAGCCTGCCGCAGGTGGGGGCCAGGAGTGAGGCGTCACAGAGAAGGCTGGGAAGGCCTGCAGGTGCAGGGGGAGCTTTACAGCCCTTGCAAGGACAGAGCTCATGATGCTACAGAAGTTTCTGGTGGCAGGACTGAGGAAAAAGTAGCATTGACCAGCTTAGAATTATTTTTTAACTATTTGTGCATGTGTGTGGAGGGAAGCGTGACTGGACAAAATCAGTGTAAGTCTAAGTGCTGTGGCTTCATTTTGCAGACAGTGCCACTCCCCACAGGTCGGTCGGCCTTCCTCCTGACGCTGCCCTCCTCCTGGTCCTGCAGTGAGGAGGAAGTTCAGGGCTGTGCCTGCGCCCTCGACCACCAGCCAGCACCTGCTGCCTTCTTGCCCCTTCCCCACGTCCTTCCGATCACCCCGAATTCCCAGAAGCCTTGGAATCACTGCTGACCTCTCCCCTGACCTCATCCCCCTCATTCAAATAGTGGCCAAGTACTTGGAAATGTCCCTCTAAGGCTTTCAAATGCTTGAATGGCAGGTTGGGAGCGGGCCTCCAGTCTGACCGTCTTCCACCCCATCAGGGCCACCCTCCAGGCTGGCCTCACCAGCTGCCCCTCTTGCGTGTCCTGGTGTCTCTGGCTCCTGCCACTCACTGAGCTGGCACTTCAGCACCTCTCAGTGTCATGCAGGCTGCCTCACAGGCCCTTCCTCTGGGCAGAACCTCCTCAGTTCCTTCCAGCTGTGTGAATGGCACGTAGTTGCTGTTGAGGGAATCTGTCATTGCATGAAGAATCCATTCCTAGAATCTCGCTCACCCAATCATGCTTCGATCCATTAATGTCTAAAGAGGTCGGATCCAAATGAAGAAACCCATGTCCCTTTCTGAGGCCAGAGCCCCGCTTCCCCTCTCAGCCCTGGGAGATGCAGCCCTTTCCTTGTGGATGTGACCTCCGGGTGGAGAAGCCTCCGGGCCAATCTGCTTTGCATTTGCATCCTGTCACTGCATGCTTGGCACCCCTGGGCTTCTGCCTGCCCTTCCCCAGGACGTCCATCCTGCCCCATCAGCCTTGCTGCCCTGTAGCTCCTGTTCTGCGGCCACTCTGGGCTGTTCCCAAACAGTCCGCTGCCCGCTCACCCATCCCTGCTGCCCCTGCCCGTCCTTCAGCCGGATGGTCTGAACATGCTCCTTAACTGGGAGCCTCCCAACTTGGTTGAGGAACATGGGTCATTAGCGGCGAGGACCTACAAGAGAACTAGTCCGTGGGGGTTTGCGCCTCAAGGATATGACGCTGCTGCAAGCCACGGAGGGCTCACACCTCGCCCAGCCAGGGTCCCTCCCCGTGGGGTGTCTGTGCTGCAGCCACACTCTGCTGTCCACAACCCTGGCTAACAGGAACCCGGATGAGAAGCCATGCACACCTCAGCTTCCAGGGCTTATGGGCCTTTAAGCATGTCTCATCTCTTCCATTTATATCCTAGGCTTCCGCCGAGTCGGCACTTTTGGGGGTGCTCTGAGCCTAGCACACTGCGGGGCTATAAACGTGGGTGTGTGATGGCTGAGGGGTTACAGATATGGCTGCGATGCCGAAGATTTCAGGGTCCAGAGGACTCAGCTCTAATGGAAAGAGGAACTTATTCCTAAGGGGATTGTACATGCTTTAAAGGGGCAGGTCAATGGAAATGATTATTTTGGGTCATGGCAATCCCATAAGAAGTGTGACAGCCCCTCCCTGTGCAAAGGGACACTTGGGAGGAGTCCTGGGTCCCCACTAATGACTAGATGCAGCTTTGACCTCCTGGCTGGTGGGGAACAGAGGGCAGAGTCCGGCCTGGAGCACGTCTGTCCCCCGCCAGGAGCCATGGGGCCCGGCTGGGTTCCAGATGCCTGTGGCACTGTGGCTGCAGGCTGTTCTGTAGGTATTGACACTCAGTACTTGGCATCTGACCAGAAATAGGGGTACTTGGAAGAGGAGGACAATGGGCCAGTGTAAACCGTGACTCGCTTTCTGATGTCCAGGCTGGCCAGTCCTGCCCTCCTCTGGTGTGGCTTCACCCCCTCACAGAGGGCACACAAACCCCTCAGACAGGCAGGCACAGGGCCCACCTCACGGCTGGCTGGACAGGAGTCTTGTAGGTTCCTTTGCTCATGGCTGTCAGAAGCCTGGTGGCTGCCCCGTCTGGCACCCAGGCCCCTAGCCTCCTGCAGAGGCAGCCCTGTCTGGGGGGCAGCAGGGGGCAGCTGCCCTGGCACTGTGGCCTCCCATGGGACTGCAGAGCCTGGCAGGCTGGAGGGGAGGTGGTGAGGGGCCTTGGGGACTACTGCTCTGGGGCTGGCGTTGCAGGCCCAGGTACTGAGCAGAGGTCTCATGTTTGTTTCTGGTGGGTACATGCGGTCACCTCTCAGGGCACAAGCAGAGTACAGAGGTTTTATTTGTGTGGATGCTGAAAGCATTTTGTAGAGAGTGGCTTAAGGACAGCTATAGACTGTCTTCACCATTTAGAATATAACGAACTTAGGCCATTTATCAGTTTTGATTGCTTGGCCACTATCTGGGGGATGAAATGAGGGCGGGATGTCTTCCAGCTGCCCCCCAGAGCATGAGCTAAGCCTTCTCTCTTCCCTGCAGAATTTCCTACGACCCTGCCAGGTACCCCAAGTACCTGCCTGAGGCCTACTGCCTGTGCAGGGGCTGCCTGACCGGGCTGTTCGGGGAGGAGGATTTTCACTTCCGCAGCACCCCGGTGTACATGCCCACCGCCATCCTCCGGAGGACCTCCGCCTGCGCCGGGGGCCGCTCCGTGTACACAGAGGAGTACGTCACCATCCCCGTGGGCTGCACCTGCGTCCCCGAGCCGGAGAAGGAAGCCAACAGTGTCAACTCCAGCATGGACAAGCGGGGTGCCAAGCCCGGCCGGCCCTGAGGCCACGCAGCCCCACCAGCCAGCGCTCTCCCTGAGCCCTGTGCCCTTGTTCAGCGGCCTCGTGGGGGGGGTGGGGGGGACCAAGAGCTCAAGCAGAAGAGCCCTGGGGAGGGCTTTGGTCTAGACTACCTGGCGGCTACTCATAGGGCATTCCCTGGGTCTCCTGTAGGCAAAAACTGAGGGGATGTGGCCCAGTTGATGGCACAGGGTCAGGACCCCCGAGGGTGACCAGGGCCTTGGGTTAGGAAGTGTTCATTGATGCTCCTCTGGGCCCAGGCCGCCTCCCTGTGCCACAGGGCCACACTGGGTGCTGTGAGGGATACACAGGGCCCTCCTGGAAGAGGTCAGAGCCACCACAGGAGAGAGGACAGGTGCTTAAAAAATAATCTGTTTTTAAAAAGAAAAATACCTACTTTTTTTATTCAACTGTTTTCAATAAGGGCAGAAATTATTTTTATATTAGCAATTTTGAGCAAGTATATTGAAAACTTTTCACTTGACATATAAGCATTTTATAAACACTCAGTTTTCACCTCCTCTGGTAGGACTTTCACCAGCACGATCAGAATCTGCAGGTAAACTCTCAGTGGGCACTGTGGCCTGGGCTCTGGAGCCAGCCCGCCTGGACCCTGCATGGAAATGGAAACACAGCCCTGAATCTGCCAGTTCCTCCTCCCACTAGAGACCCCGCAGGCTGCCACGTGAATGAAAGGGATGCACCGGAGGCCCAGATCACCCCCAGACTGGCCACAATCCCAGAAATCTCAAATTTGGTTTATTTGTGAGCACATAAATGGCCAAAGATTTACACAATATTGTTTTTTTCACTTCTGAAAGTCAGCAGGGACAATTTGTGGTGGATAGGTGGTGAGATAAGGCAAGAGGTAGAATGCTGGGCCTTTGCCAAATCTCAGGAAGAATCCAAGTTTTGGTTTAGCTATAAGGGATTTAGGAACAAGCCAAACAGGAGAAAATGGGCCAACTTACTATTTCCAGAAATCAGTATTGGAGGCCTCATTTTTACATACTGCAGTCTGAGCTAAATGCTAACTCTTTTCTTTAGGCTGAAAGCCTGTCCCTAAACACAATTATCTGTAAAAACGGGAAGTTCTTTTTGTATCATTAAAGCAACTGGAAGTGAAGGGCATGTGGCTGTGTGCATTTCTCTCTGGACTTGACTTTGATGGGCTCAGCTAATTTTTAAGGAAACAATATGTTAATGAGGCCCTCATTTTGTATTAATTTTATGCTTGAAGCTTAAATTACAATTTGATATGGCCTCAGAAAGACCAACTCGTCTGTGGAGTCCGTCTCTGCTCCTGTGACACCCCAACCAAGCCAAGAGGTCTCCCGTATTTGTACATGTTTCATTCTCGAGCTTCAGCTGTCAGGGAGCTAACGGGGCGGCACCATCCCTCGTTACTGTCAGCCTTAGTTTGATCTGGACAAGAGGCTCCTTAAGAGAACTTTCATCTTGTACTAAACATTGACAGAAGCTGTACGTGAAAAACACGTCATTGAGCAAAAATCCAGATTTTCCAAATAGAAAATTCAAAATTGAAAGCCATGGCTATGGATAGTTCTGTGCAGTGTGGGGAATTTTACTTCTCCATTCAGCCTCTTTAAAAAAATGGTGTCCTTTGTGGTAGGATATTGAGAATACATTCTCCTCCAGAAAATGCAAGGTTCATAGCAACAGCAGCAAAATCCCTCACTTAAAAGAGAAAAACTGCCTCTCCAAGGAGTGGTTTGATGAATTGTTTCAGTCACTGTCACTGTCTTATGACATTTTCCAGCCACTCCTCAAATATGGTGCAAATATCACAGGACACCGGACTTAAGGAGAGTGAAGACAACTATTTGCACAGGGAAAACACCACCACTTTATTGTGTTATTCAACCTCACTTGCTAAAAAGCACATTCCCAATAGAAGAACTTAGCTGTCCATTCTAAGATCTAGAGAGACAACCTCTACTTGTATTTTTCTCTGAACGGTGCATCCGTTCATTGAATCAGTACCTGGGGAGCGTTGGCCCCGTGCAGGCATGGAGCACCTGGGAGCTCAGTGGGAGCCGACAGCACGCCACCCCGAGGAGCTGCGCCGCACCGGCTGTCAGCACAGCTGGGCACCTGCGGGCCCCCCTCAGCCGGGGCTGCTGCCATCCTGCAAACCTGAGCTGTAGCTTCCTCACTTACAGGCTGAGACAGGGCTGCCTGCCCGCCTGTCACTGAGGACTGAATACCATCTGTGGGGCACCTGGCACCATGCCTGGTACACAGTAAGTATGAGAAAATACTGGCCCTCATGATTTATAAACCACACTTAAATATCAGGTTATTCTTCAAGTTTACTGCTTTAGCAAATATATAAAAAGTGACTATTTTTTTGTCTATTAGTTTGAAATCTATCACTAGGCAGCAGCAATTCAGTAGCATACGCTGAAATTAGAGGATAGTAGCCTAGTATGGGGAGATACTGCATCAATGAATAACAAGAGCTCCCTGGGACAGAATTTTGTTCTCCTGTATTTTAGAGGGTGAGGGGTGGGTGTTGTTTGATCAAATAGGAACATTCACTAGCTAGAGCAATTATGTGAAAGTTCAGTGCCCTCTTCCCCTGCAGTGCTCACCACCATGTCTGGCTGCTGTGGGCGGCAAGGTCCCGGGAGATGGGGCACCACTATTAACATAATGAAGCTCAGGTTACCCTGAGATTCAACGGCTGCTCTCCTCACAAAGAAGTGCCACAGTGCATGTTCCCATCAAGTAATTCTATCTTGGGAATTCTTGGAAACCCTTGGAATAGACCTAACTTGCAGGTTTTTGAAGATATTTTTCCAACCAACCTACAATATTTCCATTATCCACTGTTTTGTGAGAACTGGTTATTTGGGACTAGCCATCAGAAACTCTCAGCAGTGCCGTCAGCCCCACGTTCAGGCCAACTGCTCACACCACGTGGTTTATGGCATCTCCTCCAGCAAGGCAAGGGGAAAGGGTCATAGGTGCTGTGGGCCCCTGCCCTGAGAGGGAGGGTCAGCGAAGAAGCAGGAACATGGAATTCCTGTCTGAAACGGGCTTTAAAACCGAGGCTTATAGAGACGGGTAAGATTCCTCAAGGGAGGAACAACCTAAGACAGGCATAGTCTCAGGGGGGCCATCAGATGAGAAATTGGGGATCAACAGTGGTGAAGCTTAGAACATCACCCCCCACCCCTGTTTTGAGAGAAATCTTCTGCATCCGTGGATGTTTTAATGCCCTTATCTAGCTTGGATTAATACTTAGTCCATAGGCACACACCTGATCATCTACATTTGCCCTCTTACAACACTAAACTATGTTTTCTACCTTTATCTTGCATCTACCTACCACTTCAGCATTTTATTAAAAATAAAAATAATAATAATAATAAAGGGAGAAATGAGGGATCCACATATAAATCAAGTATAAAAATCAAACGAATATTCATATTTGACCTGATTGTTTATAGTTCATAATACGTGATCAAAACCAAAAGTTTCTGTGATGACTACCCTTGTACTGTTCACCATGTAAGCACTTATTCACTATGTAAGAATTTGTGCACCATGTAAGAACTTGTTCGTTATGCTTCAGAAAATTGGAGACTAATGAGAAGTAGGCTTGAGATGGATTAATGATTGTGCATTGAGCGTTGACTCCCTTATACAGAATTTTATTGTTGTTAACAACCATTTGATCAACAAATATGAGACATGCCCTCTCAAAAAAAAAAAAAA